GAGGAGGCTGAGGGGAGACCTTATCGCTTTCAGGTAGTTGTAACTACCTGAAAGGGGGTTGTGGCGACGAGGGTGTTGGTCTCTTCTCCCAAGTAACTAGTGACAGGACGAGAGGAAATGGCCTCAAGTTGCACCAGGGGAGGTTTAGATTGGATATTAGGAAAAATTTCTTCACCGAGAGGGCGGTCAAGCATTGGAACAGGCTGCCCAGGGAGGTGGTGGAGTCACCATCTCTGGAAGTGTTCAAAAAACGTGTGGATGTGGTGCTTCGTGGTTTAAGGGACATGATGGCGCTGGATTAATGATTGGACTTGATGATCTTGAAGGTCCTTTCCAACCTTAGTGATTCTGTGAGATTACATCTACATTTGAATTTAGCCAAATAGCTACATGTTTTAACTATTTATGTATAACATTTACTGATTTTGTTCGTCAACAGTTTCTTTCCAAAAGCATTTTAAAATGTATTATTCCCTTCTGTTATAACAGGTAGATAGGAAAATGGCAGACACAGGAAAGAATGGGGCAGAAATTACAATGAAAACATGGCTAGAACTTCCACATTCTGAAAGAGGGCTGAAAGTACACATTCTTATTACAGTCACCAAAATTTAATGCCATCTGATCCAGAAAGACATATTTTAAACTCCTGTGCTGCAGAGTGCTTAAGTCCTATTCTAAGAAACTCTTCTGTTATTATGTTTGACAACTGCCTATGTTGCAAACCCTACTACAAATTAAATTATGTACAAGATATAATACCAGGTCCTGCATTTCATCCTTCAGATAATTGCGGAAAGTTTTTTATCTACCGATTTATACAGGACAACAACTGCCGTTTCTCTTAAAAATCCACTTTAGAGATCAAGGACCGAGTTTTCAACAGTATATCTGGGTAACTCCCATCATAAAGGCTTAGCCACAAATATTTTAACTAAAGCTATCCCTAAGAATATAATTCTACAGAAGACTTAGAAAATTAAAAATTTAACCTGTAATTAACATTCTTTGATTCCTTCCTCCCCAAATTCAAATAAGGAAGAAATATTTCCATTCTTTTGAAGAGTCTTCAATGACACAAAGAAATTGGATCCACAGTCTAAAGCCGCATTTATCTATAAATGGCAGTGGCAAAACAAGCTTTTGAACCACAAACATGCTCAACTCAGCCTTTGAGATAATCTTGCCAAGTGCAAAAGATTTTGGTTCCTCACTACTAATCTTCCCTGATCAGATTAAACAACTGGGCATATTTTTAATGTCTGCATAAGGAGTCTCTGAAGCTCACTAAAAAACGATTAAGTCAAACCATTACCTTTAACTAATCAAAAGAGTCTTTTGGTGATAACAGCCCTTCTTTCTTTCCAATTTCTATCTTGATTTTTCCAATTTATACCTTGGTTTTTTCAAGTGAGTCTTTAGTCAATTATCTGTCCCTACAGTAAGTTAGTTTTAAAAGTCAAAATATTAATGAAAAGTGAAAACAAACCTGGCTGTTCTTCCCACTCTGTGGATATATGTGTTTGCATCTTCTGGACAATCAAACTGAATGACCCAGTTTACTGCTGGAAAGTCTGTGTAAAGAAAAAAAGGGTCAAAATTTAAGCTCACTGTACTCAAAAGCCTCCTATTCAAGAGAAACACATTATTTTGGAGCATTAATTCCTATAAGAACTCTCATTTAGAACAATTTACAGGCATTGGATGCAACCTCTGAAATGAAAATAAAATTAATTGCATGTATTAGCATATCATAAACAATCACTCTCTTCAAAGAAAGCTAAATTAATGGTGTCTTCATTTCCTAAATTATGACAGTGCACTGAATGGAACATAATTTCACACTTGACAAGAACAGGCATGCTTTGTGTCACACAGATGATAAAACACCACATTTAATAATTAAGTAACAATATCTGACCCACTTTTCACCTACAGTATCAATGTCCTACACCACCAGGGTTTGAAGTTAGCTGTGGCAAGACAGCACTACTTCAGCTGTCCACATACAGAATATGATAGTCCCTCTCAAAGATGGGAGGGTGTGACCAAGCCTTACAAAGAAATCAACACTGAATGTGAATGATACTATAAATAAGCATTTTCTAACCGTTGCACTTCACCCGGCAGCACCATGTTTTGCTTTGGTATAAGTGTGTGTTAATTCCTGACCAAATCTGTAGCTACGCTATATACCACAATCATACCTACATTCTAAACCTAAACAACCACACCCACATTAGATCCTCACTAGTGAGATTTCAGCAGTGTAGAAGGTATGATAAAGAGTTTTCATTTCTGCCTTCAGTTTTTAGTGCACCTTCCTCCCTTTTGTAGAATACTGACAAAACCTTACATTTTGGACAGCAGAGTTTACTTCCTGAAAACAGTCTTGTGTCATACCTAGATTCCTCCAAGTACTAAAAAAAAAAAAAAGTCCAAAGTTTCCACAGAAAATATAAAGAAGTAAATCATAATTCAGTAGGTAATGACCAGAGGAAAGAAACTTGAGCCAAAACAGGTCCTACAAATATTTTTGCTTTTTCCTCTCATCTAATTTTTGCCTCCTTAAGAATATAGTCCTATAATGCCACCCATAGCTCAGACATAAAAATTTCTTCAGGTTTTCATTCCCACATACTGGTAGGTTAGTACTTTTTTTATACCCTTTGGAGTAACCCACAGGATACAGACACATCAGGCACGTAGTAAGCAAATACATCACTACTTCCATTTTTTCCTCTTCCAGATATTTGTCACAGAACAAGGCTGGAAAAACTAGATTGTCTCCAGACTTAAAAAAATAAATAAAAGACAGCTTCCACTGACTATCTCACTAACAAATGCCATTACAAAACTAGTGACAACATAGTTGACAACTTTCCAGGACAAAAAGAAAAAATAAGTCAAATGATGTGGGCCTCTTCAGTAAAGAAACGGCAGAACTTTAAGAAGCATATCTCTTCTGAAAAACCTTAACGAGCTCTTAAGCAAACTACACCTTCATTTCTTACAAATCAGGTTGGTCTTCAGAGCATAAAGTCCTAGAAAGTCTCAACAGGGTTAGATCATCACTTTGTGATTAATTATTGCTTCTGTGGGTACATACCCAGGCCACGAGCTGCAATATCTGTAGCAAAAAGTACTGCTGCTTTTTTCCGAACAAAACAAGTGTAGACTTCCATTCTCTTCAGCTGCTGCTGCTTGCCATGGAGTGCCAGTACAGGAAGACCAGGCTGAAGCTTACAGAACACTCTGAATAGATACTGGACCTACCCAACAAATCCAGGGAAAAAAAAAGAATTTAACATGCAATGCTAAACTTGTTAAGATCATATCCAATATACAGCAACTGACTTCACACATCAAATGAAATATACTTTTCTCCACATCAGAGACAAGAGATGCCATTTTGAGACTTGTCACACTCCCAGGTACTAGAAGAGGAAATGAACTATAGCACAAGACTGGTTTGCCTTTTGATGGCATTTCCTAAAAGGAACCAGAGTAGGTAACAGCAAGAATGACTTGAGACATGGCTAGTTAGGCTATATATAAATGATCGAAGTATCAAAAGTCACAGAATCACAGAATCATTAAGGATGGAAAAGACCTTTAAGATCATCGAGTCTAACCATCAACCCAACACCACCATGCCCACTAAACCATATCCTGAAGTACCACATCTACACATTTTTTGAACGCTTCCAGAGATGGTGACTCCACCACCTCCCTGGGCAGCCTGTTCCAATGCTTGACCACTTTCTCCGTAAAGAAATTTTTCCTAATATCTAGTCTAAATCTCCCCTGGTGCAACTTGGGGCCATTTCTTCTTGTTGTATCGCTAGTTACTTGGGAGAAGAGACCAACACCCACGTCACCACAACGCCCTTTCTGGTAGTTGTAGCACAATAAGGTCTCCCCTCATCAGAAGCACTGCTTCTTGACAATACTGTAGAGGTGTAGTGTCTTATGCTTGAACTCAAAGCAATCTACAGAGTCTTGGTTTACTATTTCAAGCTTCAACAGCTTCTCTCATTAAAGCAGTGTGTTTACTCCTACACACATGCTCCATGATGCATCATTATTTTATAGCAGGCAGATATCTAATATTTTTTTAAGAAAATAGTTACAGAAACTGCACATACTGGAGTAACGGTTGCTGCTCAGAGAATTTCTGTACAACTAAGCCTACCACCTCACTGTACTCACCAGCCAACTGTGAAACAACAAAAATATTGTAACCTCTTGCACAAGTGGAATAACTGCAATGAATATTTACTACACCACTGTATGTTGTAAAATATTTGATACATCCAGTAGTTATAGGAATAAGCACCTATGCCATACAAACACATACAAATAACTTTACCAGAATAGTCCCAGGACATTTACACAAGCAGTTATTTGAAGGATTACTTCCCACATAAACATAAGAAAAAAATTCCCTGCACTATTTCACAGTTATGATTTATATAGACAGATTTAAAAGCTTGTAAAGAAAGTAGGTAAAACTATTAAAATACTCTGTAACCCAACTACAAAATGTGTCGTGAGACAAAACTGAAATAGCTGGCACTTAGTGACATAGCATTTAGCATTCATTGTAACAGCAGAGCACAAAAATGACTGAGTACACTGAAGTCTCCAGAACCATCCTGCATCAAGCCTGGGTCATTGAGCTTCCTGGCAGCCAAGGCCCTGCATGATGTGCCTAGAGGAGTAGGTGATGTTTGATTCCTCCCCCAATTTCCTGATGCAAACTAGTCCAGAATCACACCTCTCTCGTGCCTTGACATCTACATAAATATCTTAATTTTCACAATTTTAAAATGCTACGGTGAAAGGGGGAGAATAGCCATACCTCTTTACAGCTTGCAAAAAACACAATGCTCTTCTTTTTCAAGTGACTTCTCAAGAAAGAGTATAACATGTTTACTTTTTGCTGAAGCTCACAAACAATGTAGTTCTGATCCAAAGTTGCCGGGGTACTAAAAAACAAAAAACCCAAAAGTACATTTAGATACCGTTAGTTCCCATAACATTAAAATCAGAAAGAAAAGAAGGGAAGATAAAGAATACACAGGCATGCAATATCTATAGAGCTGCTTGTCCCTTCTTTTAAGTCAAGAATGTCTGACAAATAGCCAGAAAAAGAAGGGGGGGGGAGGGGGGGGGGAAAACAGTGAGGCTGGAACACTTTGAGGAACAATCTTAGCGGCTCCACTAGAAAGCTACTCTTTAAAGATGAATCAATTTCCTTACTAAAAGCAGTGGGGAGGAAGGGACAACTTTTGACATTACTTCTGAATTCGTTTACTACTAGCAAGCCAAACTCCTTATATGTCTAAGCAGTGACATTCAAATTGCCTTGACTTAAAATGCAATTTTGTCTATTAGTCCTATTAAAGCATCATTTGTGCTTAAGGCAATGTCAAAGCACAGTCTAATCACATACAAAAAAAGAGCACTGATGTACTTCAACTGATTACACCCCGACATCCAAAGTGACTTTGTAAAGCTCTGAATTGTCATCTTAACTCACCTTTCCATTCTTTACAAAATAAACTAAATAAAAAAATTCTTTGGCATAATTGCCCTTGAATACATCTAAATGCTCATTTCTCACAGTTCCTCTGCTTCACCCTAAACAGACCAAGGGTATTCACAATTATTTTATTAAAGGTGCCACTTAGGAGGATGAAATTACAAGACACTGCTCCAGTTCTGCTAGTCAGTTTGAATTATGCTGCAGCACCTTGTGCTTTGTAATTCTTTCAGAGGAAACTGTTTTCGTAAGGCAATAACCTCTTCTGTCCCCAGGCAGTAAATTCTAAAACAAATGAATGCTTTCCTTTTCGATTCTGATTATTATCTAATTGCACTTTCATAAATATTTTAAAAACTAAATGTAATTTAAAATAAGAATTCACGAAAAATTCGAGATCTGTGAAACAGTCAGTACTCAAAATGAAGACTACATACTAGGCTTGTACATTCTCTTCTGCTAAGAGGCTATTAGCCACACAATCTTCTGAGGCAACCATGCTTATTTAAGATGCCTTTGATAGTACTACTGATTAAAAAAGGTGTTTGCAGTACAATACAGAGATAATCAAATCAAACTGTTAAAACTGCCTCAGGATTCAACCTGGCTGTGCTGTTCATTTTGCTGCTTCCTCGTTTGCTCTCGGGAAAGCCATTTTTATCACTGTGCTTCACCTTTCTCGTGCATCTTACATATGGAAATATATGCATACGTCACAGAAAAGCAGAAAAAAAACCATGCATATTCATAAGCCATTTGACACTTAGATGATAGAACCCACAGAAATGCAACATACTAAATAACATTCTTCACTTAGTGACACATTAAATTTTTTGAGCTTGGCAGACCACATACTGCACTTTTTGCAAGGTCCTTCCATTCTGATCCAAACGGTATGGCATGACAAATTTATTTTGTGTGCACAGTAAACCCAGCACATCAGGAAGCCACAAGATTTACTGCACAGGAACTAATGCTGCATGCTTTCCCTTGGGCACCTAATACTGAATACACAAACAAGACTGTCATTCTGCACTTTCCCAACAGAGTAGCATTTCCTCAGAAAGCCATATTTATCAATGGCGCACAGAATAATTGTGTTGGTGCAACACATGTGGTGGTTCTGCACAGTAAGTGCATACACACAGGAGGCAAGGAAGCCAAACAACAAAAAAGTAGCAATTCAGAAGCCAGTGTTACAGGCGGGATACTACTCCATCTAAGCTATAACCCACTCTGGGCCTTGCTCCCAAGGAAGAAAATTTCCACTCTGCAAAGCTGCCTGAGGAGCCACAAAGAAAGTGCAGGTTCAGCCTCCCTGGAACGAATCGGTCAGAACTAGTACCCTCCTATCTGGAAATTCCTTGCTTTCAGGAAGGGACACAACAGGATCCAACACTGCAGGAAGGAGGATGCACGATGTAACTTCTGATTCAGGGAACTGACTGTCAGAGAAGCAGTTAAGAGGATGACCATCTGTTTAACCCTACCCCCAGAAAAAAAAAAAATATCCCAACATACCTGAATTTGGATTTCTCATGAACCCAAACATACTCCGGATCTTTCAGACTCAGCCGTGCAAGATCCTTCACTGATTTTGTTTGTGTTGCAGAAAAAAGCAGGGTCTGGCGTTTCTTAGGTAGATTTTCTATGATTGCATTCATTGTATCAGCAAACCCCATGTCTAGAATTCTATCAGCTTCATCGAGAACTGAATTAAGAGACAGTTTGAGAAAAACTGGTTTTAGCTTTATTTATATTTTTAAAAATCATACATTGAATCTATATAATCCAAAAATCCATACCTAGTTAAACTGCAGAGATTAATTTCATTACTGTATATGACAGGATTCTCTTTAGATATTCATGCACTCCATAAAACATATTTTTTTTAAAACTGCAACAGAAGTCATAGCATTTCCCATAATCTATGCACTACAGCCCTCAGTTTCACATGCTGAAGCATACAAGATCAGCATTTCAAGTAAACAGTTGCAATTTGCAGACAAACTGCAAATTACAAATGGCCTGTCCTATTACTGAAACAAAACATGGAATATAAAACAATGCTGTACTATTCATGAAAAAGCAAAACAGCCTCTCCTGTACCTAAGCTGAATTTACCATTGAAACACAGGGTACAAACAGAGTAGCACAGAGACAAAGTTTTAAGAAAAGGGCCTAGGTTTAATGCAGTTGTCTAACTGCCATGAATTGTACTAAGTGTAGCAAGCATAATTTCACATTTTATCAGCTTCATTAGCTTCTTAATTGCTCCTAAGTTCCTCAGGCTATGCTAAAGATTATGCAGTCCTTAGTGGCAGGCAAACCTCTTCAGTACACTGAAATTTTTATTCAGGTTGGAAGGATGAAAAGAAACAATGTTAACAATGCTAACAAAAACAAAGAAAGAAGCAGCAATCTGCCTTAAAATTCAAAAGAAAAGTGTTTTCTAGAACTGGACCAAAATATACACACTGCAATGGATATTCCATATAGTTAATTATCATGTCAGGAAAAACATGAGAGCCATAGCCAGAATGGAAAGGCCAGCATTAGTTAAGACAGATCTAAAGAATTATATGGGACACTACATTTGGTTTTGGGTTCCTTACTAGCTCACCTACTTGTTCTTATCATCCTAAGGAAGGCATGCTCAGCAACTGTTTCAGAGAAGAAACAAGAAAGGCGTTTTGTTGGTTTGTTTTTTAATTTGTACATGTGTCAACTTAAATGCCATTTCATCTATATACCATGACTCAGACAAACTTTTTACCCAAGGAAGTGCTCTACACAATTACGAACTGCTACAAAATATTTCTGGGTACTTTCAAGTACTCAAAAAACTTACTCAACATTTGCAGATCAGATGCATAGAAATATGAAGTTTCATCCATGTGCTGCAGAAGCCGTCCTGGAGTGCAAATTAGCATATTTATGTGGTGGATTCTTTCAGACTCTTCTTTCAAATCCTGAAAAGGAGTTAAAAACCACCTTAGCTCTAGCTGTTCACACTAGAAGCCCAGTACCAGGGATGGTCAGGCCAGCTTAACCTATTGCTAGCTTTTAGAAAGAATAGTCAAGGATCAGCCTTTCCTCTTTGTACAGGGATATCACAATTTCTTCAGCAGACTCACACTTATGTCTTAAGTAAAAAGTATTTCAGAATAGTCTAAATTAATAGCATAGTCCTGGGAGGCTTGGCAGGAGGGTCCATCCAGTCATGTAACCTGGAAAGACTGTAAATAAGCAAAAGCTTCAAAAGACAGAGTACACAGACAGGAAAACAAGTGGGTCATCGGTAAGCTCCCATTAACTACTTTTTTCCTTGACGCTTCATTTCCAGCATTTCCCTCCCAAACTACCACTTAATATAGCACTCATTTATGCTTCCATGCAGCAAACTCTGAGAGAGGACACACCTTTCCTCCAATGACAAGGCCAGCTGAGAACTCATGATTCTTTCCCACTTTACGCAGAACCTTGAAGGTTTGATATGCCAGTTCCCGGGTAGGCGATATTATCAAAACTCCCAGTCCATCAGCTGAAGTCCACTGATGGCGATACAGGAGTTCCAAAGCCTGGAAAAAATTACTGTATTCTCATTATAAATATCTCAGAAGGAAAATACGTAACAACAACAAATTTGTAACAAAAAATGTCGTAAAAGAAAGATAAAGCCATACCAATTAAAATAATGACTTGACAAAACATCAGTATACATTTCACATAGTTTGATTATATATCAGTTCTAACTGATGGTAATGATATTTGCTGAAGCAAATGACAGACAGTAATGGGTGGTAAATCGTAAACATTTTACTGCATAATCAATCCTACTCTGCTAAATTCTGGAAATTCAGCCTTAACTGTTTATACAAAACACAAGGAACCTCCCTGCTCATAAGGTTTTGTGGGAACCAGAAATAGAATGAGCAACTAGAAGACAATAAATTATTGCAGCTTTAGTCCTGGTCATAGACTTGAAGCAGTAATATCCACACATGCTATAAACAGAGCATTCCAACTAAAGTTGCCATACACCTCAGATCAGGATGATTCCTCCCGTTATGAATTTACACTGCAGAAAGACTGTCTTAGCTAATCCTAACACAGAGATTTTATAGGTATGAAGCATTCTGAAATTCTGAAGGCTGTTAAGCATCCTTGTACAACTAATTTTTTTTCCACTCTTCCTCTCTCCAGCTCTTACCATCTTTCTCCCCTAAAATGGTTTTAAAATAAGGGTTGTAAAACAAAGTACTTCTATATTAACCAATTGAGCAATCTCCCTTTTTTTCCCTCCAGTTCAGAAGACTATGTTTTGAAGCCACCTGCAATTTTTTATTCTTTACTAATAAAAAAGATATTTAAAAAAAAAAGAAACAGCATCAAGCATAAGCCTTCTCAGCTAGAAAACACCTACTACTGTTCACATAGTTACTGACAGAGTAGGTTCCAAAGAAATTCATAACAGGATGGGGTTTGTATCTACTTACATGCGCACTTTAAGCAAACAAACTTCCCAATTATACTTTCAACTCAAAGCAATTAAATGCAGAGCATGACATTTTGAGTAAAACAGTCAAACATATATTATTCATGGCAGGGTTTTTCATCCTGTTTTCCCACTTCTACCTGGAGGTGATTTCTAACGAGTCCACAAAAGACAATAAGGAAAAGGGAGTCCACAATCACTAAGCTTAAGTCCAAATCCTAACATTTTAAAGGGTTGAAAACCACCCATCACAAAAAAAGCCTAAGGAACTGAAGAAATTTCCCCATTCTATTCCACACACTTAGTATTCATATCTTAAAAGAATCAGACAACTAGACTTGCACCAGGAAAACAGACTCCTGAGAGAAAAAACAAACAACTTCCTAAATAACTCAGGGTCTACTAATGCAAGACTCAAAATGGAATTTCTAAGTGGCAGAATATTCCTAGGGTGAAGAATATAATTCTTTCAGAACTTTAAGCAGCTTTATTAAATTAGCATCTTGGCTTTCTTGGAACATCTAGATCAGTTGAATTATAACTCTTCTCCCAGGATCTATTAACCTAAGCTGTTTGACATCCAATAGTTCCCGGATAACTTGGTTTAAGTACAAATGGAAGGATGTAAATTACTTACCGGGACAATAAAAGCCAAGGTTTTGCCTGATCCAGTCTTTGCAGCTCCAAGTACATCTTTACCTTGTAAAGCCAAACCTATGGTTTGCCTCTGTATCTCCGTTACCACGCGATACTGAGCTTCCTGCAATCCTAGTATTTGCAGTGTGGGAAGAAAAGAGAG